TGGTATCTCATAATCTGTTCTTCTTAATATCCTTCAGAAGAATTTTAGTGTTTTCTTCACATAGGTCTAACAACGTTTGTTAAGTTTATTCCTAGGTACTTTAGAGATTTTTTATTGCTATTGTGAATGGAATCTTTCTTCCATTACATTTTCTAATTGCTCATTGGTGGTACATAGGAAAGCTATTGAGGTTTGTCTGATTTTGTATCTAGCCACCTCACTGAATTCTCATATTACCTGTACCCATTGCCGTCGAGTCGATTCCAACTCTTAGCCACCCTATAGTAGAGTACAGCTGCCCTATAGGATTTCCAAGGCTGTGAATCTTTGCGGAAGCAGACTGCCACACCTTTCGGTCAACTGAGTGCTTAACCACTGTACTACCAGGGCTCCTTCTGAATTCTCATCTTACTTTCACAAATAATTTTAGTTGATCTCTTGAGCTTTTTAGATTGTCCATCTGTTATGGATTGAATCGTGTCCCCCAAAACCGTGTATCAGTTTGGCTAGGCCATGATTCCCAGTACTGTGTGATTGTCCACCGTTTTGTCACCTGATGTGATTTTCCTATGTGTTGTAAATCCTACTTCTACGATGTTACTGAGGTAAGATTAGTGTCCCTGTGCTGAGAAGTTCCTAGACCAGGGGGAGATTTATGACAAGGACCTTCCCCCAGAGCTGACAGGGAGAGAAAGCCTTCCCCTGGAGCTGACACCATGAATTTGGAATTCCAACCTCCTAGACTGTCAGAGAATAAATTTCTCTTTGTTGAAACCATCCATTTGGGATATTTCTGTTACAGCAGCACTAGATAACCAAGACACCATCATTTCACATGCAAATAGTGATAGTTTTGTCTGTGTTTTCAATACTTACATCCCATTTATTTTTCTTATTGCATTGATTAATACCTTCTAAGCGATGTTGAATATACCAGCAGTAACAGGCATCCTTATTCCTAATTTGAAAGCAATGCTGTTGTCTAAGTTTCTGGTAGATACTTTTATCAAGTTAAGGATGTTTCTTCATTTTCCTATTTCTAAGCATTTTTATTAGGAATTATATGTTGAATGTTACCTAAAACAGTTGATAAAATATATTAAAATATATGCAAATCCTAAACTATGTAGTGTGGAAGAGTAAGGAACTGTTAAACAGGATAGAATCCTTGTGCTCAGAAAGGTTATCATCTAGCAGCAGAGATGAGGCTTAAAATAAATAAAAGGAATGAATAAAGGTTTGGAGATACTGGTCATTGTGATGGATAACCATGATTGTGCTTTCTTCCAAAACAGATTTATTCTCATAGAGCAGCATCAAAGGAAGATAAAGAAGGATCCTCACGGTAAATATCAGTCTGTCAATTTGTAAAAAATGTTTATTGTAGTTAAAATATATATAACAAAACATTCAGAGTCTGACAGTTTTTAAAATAGAATTTTAGAACCGGAGGAGAACTTAGAGGGCCTCTATTTCAATCCCCTGGGTTTACAGTAAGGAAATTACCAAAGGCAGGAAGAATATACTCACTCACCTTAACACTTTATCTGGCTCCAACAAAATTAGCCCCCCAGCCCAACCTGAGTTTGATGGGACTAGCACAGAGGCATCTGCTGTCGCGAGTCCTTTCAGCGGAGAGTTAGGCTATGCCTGTTTCTTCCTGCTGTTGGTAAGCAAGGGTAGGAAAGGCCACATGGTCTTGGGTAAGAGTGCTGGTCTCATTCAAGGCTAGTGAAAGGTAGAATATATGTGTTTTTCCTGTAAAGTGGCAGGAAAACGTCACTTCTCATCCTACTGGTTGTTAAGCCCCTACTCTTCATTCCCCTAATCCAAACCTCATAGAGTTTTAACTGTGAGGGGTCTTAGCCAGCAGCTTTCTCAAACAGAGAGGGAGAAAGGGAAAATGTCTTGCTCCGTGGTCTCACCACTAGGGGTTGTCAGAAAGAGGATGACTCCTTCCCATGTGGGTGTTTCTCCATTGATTACATTGTGCTTGGACCATAATCTACATTTTATATCATGACTCAGTACATGCAAACTTAATGTAGACATGGCTGCTAATGTAGGCATAAGTAGTTTCTAAAGCAAACTTGGAGTCCCTGGGTGGCGCACTCAGCTGCTAACTGAAAGGTTGGAGATTTGAGTCCACTTGGAGGCACTTCAGAAGAAAGACCTGGCTATCTACTGCTGAAAAACCAGCCATTGAAAGCCCTGTGGAGCACAGTTTTACTCTGACACACATGGGGTCATCACGAGTTGGCAGCGACCTGATGGCAACTATTTTTTTTAAACTTATTACACAGTATGCACTCTGATATTTTCTGTTCTGTTCAGATTTTTCTTTTAATGTTAGTCATGACCTTTAAATTGACTTCACAACCCACTCATTAATTAGTGACCACCTACAATATGAAAATCAGTGAGCTCAATAACTTTGCTAGTTAGACTCAGGCATTTACTTGGTGTGATTCGATTTACAGAATAAAGCAGCTAGAAAAATAGAAACACCTTCTCTTCCACTCACCCTCACTCCCCAGAGAATGAAGCATGAGACCAGCTCTGAAGGGGACTGATGTAAATGTTTCTGGATAGGGCTGCCCAGTATGGTTGTGCAGTTTGTTCACTGCACGAGGGTACTTGGCCAAGGAGGTAAGTGGGGCTGAAAATTCTGCCTAGCCTACATGCCAAGCCATGTACAGAGGTCTCCCCAGAGACATCGTGGGGCCCTGTGGACAGATACAGAGAGCTCCTGGAAGTCCGATAGGCATGGAGTTGTTCTCAAGCCCCAAGTCTGTGGTGATTTTGCTAGTTGTGATTACAGGTGGAGGTAAACTTTTGAGTCCTGCTGAGACCAGAGATACGCATTATGAGGGACATGGAAAATGATATGAATCACTAATTGTCTTGCGTGTGTGTTTCTCCCCAAGGGGCTTTTTCCGAAGTCTGCTTCATAGGAGATGCACGTCAGAAAGTGAAAGTCAGGTACATTTGGGGAAGATCCAGTGCTGTGGCAGGAGAAAGCAGGAGAGATGCAGAGTTAATAGCTCCCTTTCTCTTTTCTAGGAGGGCTTTTTCTGGAGAAGGCGGCCACATTGGCTCAGGGATATGTATAGACCTCTCAATGCCACCCGCAAGAAAAACATGGCACAGAAGCTACACGACAAGGATTCTTCTGATGAGGATGAGATTTTCAACAAGGACGCCAGGTAAATGATAGGGGACAATTTAAATTTCTTATCTAAAATGAGTAGGTATCCAAAGGGGGAAAATGCAGAACCCAATTTCAAATTCTCATGGAGTCCAGACTTTCTGGAGCCTTGGAGGCTGGATGAACCCCTAAAACTATTACCCTGAGATAATCTTTAAACCTTAAACCAAATATATCCCCTAAGGTCTTTTTAAAACCAAACAATAGTTTAGCTTAACTAGTAAAGAATGTCTGCCTTGAGCATCGTGCTTTTTTCATATCTACCTACATGGGATGAAACTGACAACAGCAACACCAACAGCCCCCTACGGCTTAGAGGGCAATGAGTTTATGTTAGTGGGGGATGAACAACTCAGGAAACGAGGGTGAGAATGGTTGCACAACTCAAAGAATATAGTCAATGTCACTGAACTGTACATGTAGAAAATGTTGAATTGGTATATGTTTTGCTGTGTATATTCTCAACAACAAAATAAATAAAATTTTTTTAAAAAGACAAAAATAATAAAATGAGGAGGTAATGCAAAGTTTAATTACTCCTTTCAAGAATAAGAGCCATTGGCATTGTTCTTCTTATCCCAGGGAGGCCAGTGAGGCCGCAACAGAGAAGTCCGCGCCTACAGAGACTGTTATAGAGATCGGTGAGGAAAGTGAAACGCCTGGTGACAAGACACCAGGGTGAACCCCATCCTGCCTCAGGCCACCCGCAAATTTTATTTTCTGATATTGGCTTTTCAGTATTGCTTGTAAAATACCTAGTTTTCTCATATTAAAATATATAAAGTCTATAACCAGTTCTAGCCATGTGGTAAGGAATTGAAATGTAAATAGTTAAATATTTACATAAAAGTAACAGGGTGTCGATCAAGGGCCATAGGCAAGAAAAGCAGGGCTGAAACTAGAATCCCTGCTGGTAGCCATTCCATAAGCGGCCAGGTGGGCAACGAAGGACGAATGGGACTTTACTACCCCTTTTCCCCAGTATAACCCATCCCAGGGAAATGGAAAACAAATCAGCCACAAGGGGTGTAGATTATTAAATAAAGTACCAGTTTTTTCTGACTGTCTCTCCTCTGTGCCTCATTCAAACCTGTGTTCTCTGACACAATTGACCCCAAGCCCATAGGGGATCATCCACCTTCTGGATCCTCTCATAAGTTCTTTGAAATTGCTAGAATATTTGGATCTCCATTGTGCAGCCAAGTCCTTCTTTTTTCTCAAGATCTCAAACTCATGCAAAAATGTGTGTCCTATTTTGATAAGGGGTTCTCTGCTCTTACCAGCTGGTGGAAAATTCATATTTTTCTTTTTAAACCATCCCAACCCTTGGTGTTATGGATTGAATTGTGTCCCCCAAAAATGTGTGTCAACTTGGCTAGGCCATGATTCCCAGTATTGTATGATTGTTCACTGTTTTGTCATCTGATGTGAGTTTCGTATATGTTGTAAATCCTACTGTGATGGTTAAGATTGTGTGTCAGCTTGGCTGGGCCATGATTCTCCGTGTTTTAATGTAATCACTCCCATGATTGAATATACTGTGAGAAGCCAATCAGATGAAAGGGAGTCTCCTTGGGGGTGTGGCCCGCCTCTGTATATAAGCAGACGTTCTGGCTTTTTACTCTCTCTGGATCCTCCGGCTGCTTCCTGTCGTCTCATCTCCCGTTCTTGGGACTTGAGCTGTCAGCTTATCTGCTGGACCTGGGATTTGTTGATCTGCACAGCCTGTGAGTGGGAGCCCGGCTCTCCGACCTTCCGATCTTGGGCTTGCCAGCTTCTGCAGCTGTGTGACTTGGGAGAGGCCTCTACCCTGATCCACAGACTTGGGACATTCCAGTCTCTATAATCACGTGAGCTGTATCCTAGATATAATCTCTCTCTATATATATATCTATACACTTTAGTGTTTTTGCTTCTCTAGAGAGCTCAGCCTAAGATACCTACCTCTGTGATGTTAATGAGGGAGGAATACAGGCAGTTATGTTAATGAGGCAGCACTCAACCTACAAGATTAGGTTGTGTCTTAAGTCAATCTCTTTTGAGATATAAAAGAGAGACCCAAGCACACAGACAGAGAGATCTCATACAACCAAGAAAGAAGCACCAGGAGCGTAGCGCATCCTTTGGACCTGAGACCCCTGCTCTGAGAAGCTCCTTGACCAGGGGAAGATTGATGACGAGGACCTTCCCCAAGAGCCAACAGAGCGAGAAAGCCTTCCCCTGGAGCTGGCGCCCTGAATTCAGACTTTTAGCTTCATAGACTATGAGAGAATAAATTTCTCTTTGTTAAAGCCATCCACTTGTGGTATTTCTGTTATAGCACCATTAGATAACTAAGACAGAATTTGGTACTGGGACTGGGGTGCTGCTCTAACAGATACCTAAAATGTGGAAGCAGTTTTGAAAGTGAGTGGATAGAGGCTAGACGAGTTTTAAAATGCCTAATAGTAAAACCCTACATTGCCTTAAAGAGACTGTTGGTGAAATTATGGACATTAAAGACAATTCTGGTGAGGACTCAGAAGGAAGTGAGGAGAGCTGTTACACTGGAGACAGCGCAGACGGCGAGAAGCAGCAGCAGAGAAATGGCAGCAGCAGAGAAATGGCAGCAGTAGAACCAGGAGACTGGCACAACACAGCGCTAGAGCCGACCCACCGAGCAAGAGAGCTGAGTGCCTTTGTGCAGGAGGCTTCCTGGCAAAGTGGGATGCTTCTGAGCACTTACTGGTGAAGCCAGGCTTGCTGACCTATGGAGCAAGAGAGCTGAGTGCCTTTGGCTGAAGTTTTCTAGTGGAATGGGGTGCTTTATCAGGTACTTCTTAGTGGAGCTTCAGAGCTTTGGAATGCTTGCCCCAGCAGGGCAGATGTGGGTGTGAGGCCTCAGGGTGGAGAGGCCAAGGAATAAGGAAGCAGAAGCTGAAGAGACGAGGAGCACAGGAAGCAGAGCTGCCTCAGTCTCAAAGCATAGGGCTTTGACCTTTGGGGTCTCAAAGGGTGGAGTCGCCACTCAAATGGACTAGTAGAATGGGGCCACCCAAATTCAAGGGAGCAGAGTTGCCATTCCAGTGGGCCTGGAAGGCAGAGCTTAAGCCCAGGCCTCGGGGCCACCACCCAGAATCCAGAGTGTGGCCGAAACCTAGAGTCTGGAGGGCAGGGCCATTGTCTAAATGGTCTCTGAGAACAGAGGGTTATTTTAAGCCATGAGAGCTAATGTAATGTGTTCTGCTGACTTGCTTGGTGCTTGTAATCCCTTCTTTCCCTCCAATTTCTCCCATTCGTAATGGAAATGTCTAGCTTGTGCCTGTTCTACCACTGTACTTTGGAAGCAGATTGTTTATATTCTGGATTTCACAGATGAAGAGGAATATTTGGATTTTAGACTTGGAGTTGATTTAAGACTTTTGATATGATATGATCAAGTGAATGTGTTTTACATGTGTCAAGGACATGAATTTTGGAGGGCCAAAGAGTGGAGTGTGATAGATTGCATTTTATCCTCCAAAAATATTTGTCAACTTGGCTAGGCCATGATTCCCAGTATTGCATGATTGTTCACTGTTTTGTCATCTGACGTGATTTTCCTATATGTTGTAAATCCTACCTCTGTGATGTTAATGAGGCAAGATTAGAGGAGGTTGTGTTAGTGAGGCAGGACTCAACCTACAGGATTAGGTTGTGTCTTAAATCAATCTCTTTTGAGATATAAAAGAGAGAAATAAGCAGAGAGACAGGGGAACCTCATACCACCAAGAAAGAAGCACCAGGAGCATAGCACGTCCTTTGGACTCGGGGAGCCTATTCTGAGAAGCTCCTCGACTGGGGAAGATTGATGACAAGGACCTTCCCCCAGAGCCAACAGAGAGAGAAGGCCTTCCCCTGGAGCTGGCACCCTGAATTCAGACTTCTAGCCTCCTAGATTATGAGAGAATAAATTTCTCTTTGTTAGAGCCATCCACCTGTGATATTTTAGTTATAGCAGCACTAGATAACTAAGACACTTAGGTAGCTCTCAGGAAGGGACTGGAAGGTCAGTGTAAAGGAGGAATGTGTGAGAAAGTAATTGCCCATGATTGCCCTCTTCAGGCCTGGGAGGGTGCTGATTTAGAAATGTATTGGTGGGGCCACTTCTCTGCTCAGGTATACTGCCCTAGCCTCTAGAGAACCCCACCAGGGATCAAATGTATGCTGCTTGGCCCCCTCCAGCTCGGCCCAGCACCAGATCTACCCGCTTCTTTCCTCACCCTCCAGGCTGCATGATTCCAAGTGACAATACAAGTAAAAATTGCAGAAGATGCAAGGGTTCCTGCACTCATTCTGCTCATCCATGCAAGAATCAGACATTTTAAGAGCACAAAGAGGGGATGCCTACCCCTATTTAAATATTTTCCTAAAAGCAAAGAAACAGTCATTCATTCACATTTGTAAGTCAGTGAGAGCTAAACACATTAGTGAGTAAAGAAATTCTGAATGAGCAAGATTTGCTAATCGACCTCAATGACCACAAATAAATGCTGGCAACTCAGTAATCTGAGATGAAGAATGATGCCAACCAAGGAACCACAGCACACAGTCCCCCAGAAGAGCAATGCAGTTGGGCAATGGCCTCCCAGCATATTTTGCTGGTTAGGCTTCCAAGCGAAGTGAACAGCTCAGCTGTACCTCATCTGGTCCGTCAGTTTGCCAATGCTGGGCAAGAGATACCTGTTCTCTTAATACTGACCTGAGTTACGTCTCAGCGTTCTTTACTGAGGATGAAAACCAAGTGTCTGTCTCTGTGTGGTGACCTCTGAGAGCCAACAAATATTTACTGTGTTTAAAGCACAAGACTAAATAATATAATAATAATAGGAAGCAGCAGCAGCTACCATTTACACTTGCTTACTTGGTGGCAAGCTGTGGGTTACACATTTTACAGTCTTACCTCATTTAGTTCAACCATCTGTGGAAGGATATTTTGTTATCCTCATTTGACAGATAAAGAAACAAAGAATGTAAGTAACCAGCCCAAGTGCCCTAGGCCACACATCCAAAATGGATGAGTTCGGGTTTCAAGTGTCCACAGGAAAATACAATTCCTCAAAGTATATTCTGCCAACCTCTATCCTCAAATATCACTGGGCTGCTTATTTAAAAGGCTGATTCCTGGACACTTCCCTTCCAAACCTACATGCCTGCCCCACCTGAATCAATCTCGGGACAGAGAGGCCCATTCTAGAAACCACTGAGGTATGACAAGAAGGGCAGGGAGTTGAAGGAAGCAGAGGTTCTCTGGTTTCTTCTGGGCTGGAGGCAGCAGGGAGATGACTGTGGGGAGGAAGGGCAGAGCAGTGGGAGGTGAGAGGACTGGTGTCTGGTTAGGTCTGTGAGAATGGGAGGCATGACTGAGTCTTACCTTGGACTCCCAACATAGGTAAGCCTGGACTACTGCTCACCTCCACAGACATCGGGGCCTCTTGCTCCTGGAAGTCCCCAGACTCAACCAGCTCTGGCTCCGAGGACCTGGTGTGAGTGAGATGCTGTTGTTGAGGCCTGGAGAGTGGGGGTGGAGGACCAGTGGAGCAGAGAGAAGCACATATTCAAGAAGAGAAAAAAATCCTGAGGCCTGAAGCAAAAGTGGGAAGTGGTTCAAGTTTAGAGTGTCTGTGTTAGAGAGTGGTTTGGTGTCATACTGTGAAGCGTCTTCACTTATAGGGCTAAAGGAAATTAAGGCTCAAACTGTGATCCATATGAAGGTTTCCTGGGGATGAGGGCCACGCCCCAAGGATGGTGGAGCAATAAGATAGAAGGAGCCTGGGCCCCTGACAAGGGGAGCACTAAACTAGCCCTGACTCCTAGCCGGATTGTTAGATGAAAGATTGAGAAACTTCCCTCTTATTTAACCCACTATTCTTTGGTTCTCTATTGCAGCAGCTGACCCTGTAGCCTAGTAAAGGAGTAAGTATATGTATAGGGCAGGTGTGGCCACAATAATGCTGTGTAATAAACCATTCCAAAACTTGGTGAGTTGAAATACCAGCTCTCACAGACCTGCAGGTTGGCTGGGGCGGCTGTGCTTTAACTCTGTGCTGGTTCAGCTCTGCTTCTTACTGTAGGGCTGCAGATTAGCGGGGGTGGCTCTGTCCCATGTGTGTTCGTTCTGGGGTCCAGACTGAAGAGTCAGCAGTGACCCAGGAGAAGCTCTTCTCATGGTGAAGGCAGAGGCATAAGAAGGCAAGCAGAAACTTGAACGGCCTCTTAAAGCCTAGACTCAGAACTGGCACACTTGCATTTCTGCCCCATTCCATGGGCCAAAGCAAGTCACATGGCCAACGCCAAACCCAGCGGAGAAGAAAGTACACTCTGCCCACAAAGAGACAAAAGAGTGTGGATGCAGGGAAGGGTGAAGAATTGGGGCCAATAATTCTATATTCCCCAGTATATGAACGAGTTCTTGTTTGCTGGTTATACACCCTGGTTCTACTCTTCTAGGAGTTTCCTATAAATGGAGCATAGCGACACGTGATGCCTATCAATAAAAAGACTTAACCACTGTTTTCTATTAGGTCAGGAACCCTGACAAGGCAAGAATCCCATCTCCTTTCTCTCACAGCTCCCTCCTCCCCTCAATGCCTAGGACAGGCCCTGACCTTAGTGATGACTCAAGGAATATTATTAAAGGTCATTCCTTTATTCTCCCCATGTGATTCCTTAAACGAAATACAGACCGGCATCTTAAAGGTCAGTGCATACTATATATTTGCCCCATAAACTGCAAAGGGACTGGGTCATTTGGAGCTTCAATCTGTACCCAGATCTGACACCAAATCCTGTGCCCACTGCTTCCCACAGGGAACACCAGAAGAAAAGGCGTATATGGGGTTAAACACGAAAGCAGGTGATATGGATTGAATTATGTCCCCCCAAAATGTGTCGTAAATCCTAACCTCTATGCTCTTGATTGTAATCCCATTTGGTTGTCTTTGTTATATTAGTGAGGCAGGATTAGTGTAGGGTGTATCCTCAGTCAATCTCTTTTGAGATAAAAAGATTAATCAAGTGAGCAAAGAGAGAGAAGAGATGGGGTAAGAAAGATGCTAAGACACATGGAGACCTCCAAGGAAGCAGAAGCTGAAGAGAAAAGGACCTTCTTCCAGAGCTGACAGAGAGGGAAAGGCTTCCCCTCGAGCCAGCGCTCTGAATTAGGACTTTTAGCCCCCGAAACTGTGAGAAAATAAATTTCTGTAAAAGCCATCCACTCGTGGTATTTCTCTTACAGCAGCAACAGATAACTCAGACAGCAGGTTAGTGAAGTTTCTTTCTCTAGAAGCCATTTAAAACTAGAAATATTCTTATAACCTGAAATACCTAAGAGGAAGGCTGTCTAAAGGCACAAAGTAGCCAGGGATCCACATGGATTTAAGGACAACTTAGGAACAGTGAGATTCACCATCAGAGCCTCCACTGTTCCACAAAGTCCCTCGGCCCCTCTCATAAGAGCAAAAGCCAAATCGGCTCCAGATGCTTGACCTTAATTGCTGCCTTTCTCAGGAGACTTTGCACTTTAAAGGAGAACCAAGAGAGCCATGATTAACCCTAAAGAATGGCATAGTCACCACGGAATATCGGGCACCGTGGGTGGAAAGTGCGTTTTAGGGTAGTGATTCACGGTAAATCGTTTTCCCATTCCCCAAGAGGGCCTATTCAATGTCAAGCTGTCTCAGGCTCTGGTTGATCAAACTAGAGGGATGTGGAAACTAGGGTTGGTGCAAGATGTCTTGGTTTTGATATATATGGAAGATTTTAGAGCTTGTTATGAAAAGTGATGGTCCAGGATTCTCCAGGCTGGGTTAATAAGGATTGCCTTAGTAGATTGCAAGAGAAGGATATTATGCAGCAATTTTTTTCTGTTTTTTTCAAATGAGGCAAACTGGAAGAATCTATCTCCAAGATATGTAGGGGCTACTAAGTGAACAAAAAGGAGCCCTGGTGTCTCAGTGGTTAGGTGCTCGACTGCTAACCAAGAGGTTGGCAGCTCAAACCCACCAGTGGCTCCACAGGAGAAAGATGTGGCAGTCTGCTTCTATAAAGATCACAGCCTTGGAAACCCCATGGGGTAGCTCTGTCCTATAGGGTTGCTATGAATCAGAATCAACTCGACAGCACACAACAAGTGAACAAAGCAAGATGTAGTACAATGTATATAGTACGTGTGGTGCACTGAATTACTTAATACGGCCCTTCTAGCCATGCACGGTCTTGTGACTCCCACAAAATGATTGGGTGGTACTAGGCAAATAAGGTGCTTGTGGCCCACCAAGGGGATTGGACAGCCTGCTAATAATGCAGATATGATGCATGGAACCCTTGGGGTGGGACTATGCAAAGAAGGTATGTGGAAATCTTGTAGGGGATTGGTCAGTTTTGCAATCCTGCTAGGCTTAAAATGAACCAATCACAGAACAGGGCAGGGGGGTTGGGGGTGGGATCTTGCTACCACCAAGAAGAAGAGCCAGGAATGGAGCACCTCTTTAGACCCAGGTTCCCTGCACTGAGAGCCTCTTAAACTCAGGACACAGATAGAGCTGTAACATTGGAGAAGGTGTGAGATGGAGAAACGGCAGCTGCAGAACGAGAAGACTGGTACTGCACAGCGAGGTGGGCTTCCCAGCCCACTGAGCAAGGTGGCTACAATGGGCATGCTGACCCACAGAGCTAGAGAGCTCAGCGCCTTTGGCAGGAGGCTTCCTGGCCGAGTAGGGTGCCTACGGGCACTTATTGGTGGAACTAAAGGGCTTTGTAACACTTCCCCAAGCAGGGCAGAGGCCAGACTGAGGGGCCAAGGGGCTGAGAGCTGAGAAAGAAGCCTTTTGCAGGCATGGCCGAGAAGCTGTCCTGACCAAAGAACTGTATCTTGAGTTGTTCCTGATCCTGAATTGTAACCTGTTACTTCCCTAATAAACCCCATGAGTATGTTCTGTGAGTTCTGCATGACCATTGTAATGAATTGATCCCAGCAGAGTAGAGAATGCTGTGGGAAGGACAGACTTGGCAAAAAGGTCGGAGGGTGGAGGTATATTTGACCTCCACCTCATAGGAATCAGCCTTGGGCTGATGCTGAAGGTGATTCTCTCTCCCCCTCACGAAGTTAGACTAGGTCTAATGCTACCACGCCATTTTTATAGATGCTACTATGTGTTGTGTGTTACATGTTTAAAACTGTGGCTATTTAATACAAACCAAACTGAACAGTCGGCTCCTAAGTCACACTAGTCACATTTCAAGTACTCACTAGCTGTATGTAGCTACTGGCTACCATATGGGACAATGCACGTATCAACTATTTCCATCTCTACAGAAAGTTCTATCGGACAACCCTGGTGTGGAATAACTCTGGAAGGCCACTCAAGACACTGGTAATGGTTGTTGCCTTCAGGGAGGGAAACGGGAAGACTGCAGCACCATATACCCTTTCGTACCTTTTGAATTTCATACTATGCATTTGTACTACGTATTTGAAAATACATTTTAATAAACGAATTGGGAATTAGGAGTCCCCATATAGGGTTACTGCATCAGGGTAGTCGTAACCAGATTACTTTGCAATTTGCCTAAACCAAAATACATTAGTAGACATTATGACTTCACATTATCATATCCTTAGTTCTCCTGGAATGCTCTGCCATAGCAGTTAGTCTGCATTTTCCCCTAATTTAGGAAATAATATTGGAGTTATTATTCCCTGTCCTTGAGCATAAAGAATGTGACCCAGGTGGAGCTGGGCTCACAAGGACTCACAAGGACACATCAGCTGGGCCCTGAGGTGTAAAGACAATAGCTAAAATAATCTCGGAAAATATCTTCTAGGGGAACTTTCACATAAAGCCGATCAAACAGAACACAAAAGACTTTTTGTTTTAGCATTTAGTGAATAGAAATTTGTTGGACCAATGAAGACCCTCCTGACTCTCATTACTGAAACTTGTACCAATGACTGTTAAGAAAGACAATTCAAAATGTAGGATCACAGTTTCTAGCCAATCTGAAAAGGCTAAGCTTTCAATGGTTTTGCCCATTTGTAATGTTAGTATATACTGATGACTCTGTAATGGTCTTTGGACTTGGGCAGACATGGCTGTGGCAGCATGCTTGTCCATTTTCCCACTTTTGTCTATTCTGTATGGTTTCTGGACTTGGGCAGACACGGCTGTGGCAGCATGCTTGTCTGTTTTCCCACTTTTGTCTATTCTGTATGGTTTCTGGACTTGGGCAGACATGGCTCTGGCAGCATGCTTGTCCGTTTTACCACTTCTACCCCTTTTGAATATATGCCGAATAAAACTTTCTTTTGCTTTAGTAAACTTTATGACGTTTTTCCTCTACAACACCCCAGAGCCGTCTATTCCAGAAATCTGTCCTCTGGTGTGCTCTAGTCACTGCCTAGACCTGTCACACGGCTGTCACCCCCAACTTCCTCTCACTGTTTCCTGGGTTGGGAGCTTCATTTCCTGGTTCCCTTTTCTTCTCTCTTG